TTGACAAAATGCTTTGAAATTTAAAACATTGTCATGCATTAGGATATCCTACAATATGATATAGAAATAAATCATGAAATCACGCGCATGCACGTGTGCTGCAATCTGATTGGCTTAAACTTGAAATGGCTATAACTCCCTTGTTTTTCAACCAAACAGGATGGGATTTAGAATATAGATAGATGTAAGGTACTCCTACAAGAAGGTATGGTCATCATGCACGTGCACGCACGTGCGTGCATTTGGAACGAGTGAAATGAAAAATACACTTGAAAGAGTGACTTTTCATACTTTTGGACTGAATGCTTTAATATATTGTATATTAAAATGTGTAGATAGTGTAGACAAGATGATATGATCATAACGGACATGTATTCACATGCGCACGGGTGCAATGCTAAAATTTGAATATAATTGGTATCCTTCTGAGAAAACGTTGTTAAAGTCAAAATGCACAGAGTTTGTCTTATTTAATGACGCTTACAGGGAATATGGCACCAAAAAGGAGTTGGGGAGCGTTTGGGGAACATCTGTAACGGTCCCCGTTACAATTAGCACTAGTTTACTTGTATGCCCAATTTATTCAACATTGCATACAAAGTTTTTGAAAAAATATTATTGGTATAGGCCATCTATGTACAAATTAATACAGTTGCTAAGTGTGAATAATGTAAAAGAATTATGTAATTTAGGGAAGTTTATCTATAAAGCCCTCGCGCTTAGAAATGATTTAATAATGTAATGGTGTGTCATTTGCTGATTTGTTACTCCTATATTATTGATATGATTATATCTGCTATATTACATGTCATTCTCCATATGAACTGTAAAGACTGTTAAAACGAGTTTATATGTATATATGTGCATGTTCCATAAGGGTTTACAAGACTGACCAGCCATTATTTCATTTCTTTCTTTTGTTTATATATTGTATAAATGCTATAAGACGTATGTCTTTTGCAATAAAGAATTGAAAGCTAAAATTGTTGAAATTTTGTCCATTTTGTCCTCTTTCTGAAAAAGGATATAAAATCGGACCAGTTTATGACGTCATAAAAACAAAAATTGTGAATACACTGCTTTGACATTATAATATTTTCTGTTAATTTATATTTCTCATACACTTTATTGAATTCAGCACATTTCAGGAAGTTTTCAAAATTTGACTTTTGTGGGGGCAAATACATACAATATACCGCATATAGTTCTTTGCGATAGCTGTCACAGAAATATGCAGAGATATAGCGTAAAATTAAAAAAAAAATGTATTTTCATCAAACTTTGCATTAATTCATGAAATTGATCTGCAATCTTACTGATTCTAGATAATGTGCATATATTATATATTGCTTGTTGCTTTTTAATCTACCTTATTTTTATTTATTAGAGAAAATAAACAACACTTCATTTTGTTTAAAAAAGTGACAAGGCAATGCTACATGTATATTAATATCAATAATAATGATCACGTGTCATCATGGCTATATCATGCTCTAAACAGGGCATTTGAAGACATTACATAACATCACACATCGTTTTAAAAACTCTGGAAAATAAGAAAAAAAAATTTGTAAGCGTGTTTCTGTAAAGCAAAATGTTACCTATTGTTGAATTTAGTTGTCTTGTTCAGAGTAATAATTTTATTGTTGCAATCGTAAAATGCATAATTTATAACGTTTTTTAAGCAAGATAAAAAAAGATGTTAATTTGCAAGTGTCAGAGTGCATGTTTCTCGTACTTTGTAATAAAAGTTATGTGCACTTCACTGTGGCATTTTCCCTATGCAAATAAACATAGGTGAAATTAATTAATTGTAAAAGAAGTAACGTGATTTGCTAAAATTGATTTAAAATTTAAAGTTGACAAGGATCTATCTCATTCCAAGGGGTGAATTTAATTTAAAATGTTTTATGAAATGTGCTCATAATATCAAAATAACATTGTAAACACGGAATAATATTTTCATTAAGCAAAGAAATTGAAAAGACTGTTTCTATTTGAGCTGAATACCGTGTGTGGCCCCTTTTCAGACCCTTCTTATATGACATAACTTATTCACAAGCTATTTAATTTACCCTCATTATATATTTTAACATCTGTGATATACACTAATCGAAAATAAATACATAGAAAAACGGTGCTATAATTTTGAAAAAAGGTCATAAGAAATGTCCATTTTCTTCTTATTAGTCAAGAATGTTGTGTTTTCTATCATTCATAGACGAAACAAAGTTCATTTTATTTTAAATTCTTATGGATTATCTTAACAAGTAAGGCCTTTAAAATGACGTCAGAAGAGTGGAGAGAATTCCTTTTTCAACATTCTATAAAGTTTTGCCCCCTGAAAAAGAAACTGGTAAAGATCTAAGAAATGTTTAAATAGGCTACAGGGAAATATAATATGCATCCAAAGTAATGTCAAAATAGATTCAAAGAGAAACAGGGTGAACAGTTTATGTCGAATTGTAGTCAAGGTATGAAAAATCAATCACGTCAAAAAATAACGCTGATCAAGTGTTGTAGATATTGAACTCCCAAAATCAAAATATCTTGGCACCCCCAATCAAGCGAAGATCTCCCCAATGTATAAAATTAATCCATTTGGAAAAATATATTTATTGAAAGCCGCTGGTCATGACATTGTAAAATTATGTGAACAAGTTTCAGTCCTTACTCAGCTCTAGGAAATCTCATCAAAATATATTTTGTATAAGGTAGAAAAAGACATTGAAAACTAGTTACGTCATAAAACCAAACGGTGACAGCGCCAGATGATCATAGATTGTCGTTTTTATTTTATAAAAAAATTGGAAAATAATGATCGTATCAAGCTAAAGGTTTCAACATTTCTTTACGTTTTGATGTTTTATGCTCCAAATCAATTGTAAAGCACCGACTTCTTAAAACTAATTTCAAAGCCTCAGTTTAAGAACTTTTTGATAACCCCTTTATGGTAATCTCTCTCTCTCTCTCTCTCTCTCTCTCTCTCTATCTATCTCTCTCTCTCTGATTTAAATATTATAGGGCATTAAAAAATAAGATTTAGCATTCCAACTATTGTAATTGTTTATTGTGATTGAAATTCAAGCCACGTGGTTTAGGTTGACCTTTTCAAAGGTCAAAGGGTAGAACCGGTTTTACTAACAAATTGGCAGTATTTAGGAAAATATTATAAACTATTTCCATTGAAAACATGTCCTGTAAGACATGATTTGCAGCAGAAAAGTGTTGCTAAAGGTGGAATAACAATATATCTCATCATAATTTACGGCGAAAATTAGAGGTCACTAGTGCCCAATACGCGCTGGTTAAAAAAATGTTAAATATCAACTACACTGACAAACCTTTGTTTGCCTTACAAAATGGATACTGTTATTAATGTGCAAAGAGGATCTTACCGCCAGCATCTGACCATTCGTTGAATGAATAGCAACGTTTACGCTAAAAAAATGTTTTTTTCGTTGAATGAATAGCAACGTTTACGCTAAAAAAATGTTTACATTTTACTTCGAACACGTGGTTCAGATTAAAATATGAACATGTCAATGGAGTGTAAAATAAAAAGAAAATATTCTGGTGAACAAAATACTAGAAACTATGGAAAATTGTTTTTGTGCCTTTCCGATAGCCAGAAATAATTTCTTTTTTCAAGCGTAGAATACCTGTAGTGTTCATACAAAAATCATAATGCATTTCTAATTCAGCTGATTTGTCGGTCAAATTCATGTTAGTGCCACATTTGCTTATCTGACGCCAAAACATATAGTCCCAGTTTCCATGCAAATATATTGTCCAAAAAGAAATTATAATTCATGACTGCAGAAAATTGTATCAAAGAGAATTCGTAACTTATTTTAGGTTGAGTGAATGCAATAGAGATCGACTGAAGTACATTCTTACAGATATTATATTGTGGTGAAAACTGAAAGGCAGCATAACTTTTCTGTTTACCAGTCTCCAAGCGATTGTCATTTAAGGTTCATATATCCTTAAAAGTATTTAGTTTTTCGGATTAGCCATAATCCAGGTTAGTGAATCTTTAATGTTAATTTGTTAATATAATTTCATACACCTTATATTGTAATATCTTTTATGCAAAGAGATAACATGAGACCTTTTGAAATTGAAATTATAGGCATCGCAAAATTTGCAACAATTGTTTTTTTTCTCTTAATATCCAGAAAAATAATAATGACCTTTATTTGACATTGCGTCTAATATAAAAGCGTAAAATTTAATCTTAATGATACATGTACCATCACTAAATAATATTGTCTTATTGATTCTTTGCAAATTACATTAATCTTTAAATTCAAGAAATATAGAAGAAGAGTCATACCTTAATATATTTTGATTTAGAGGGCTAGTAATATTAAGAACAGGTACATGTAACCGCACTTAAGATTTTTAGCCTTTGACGCATATACTTATCATATTTAGAGAGGAAAAGTGAAAATGAATTTTGGAAAATAAAAGTAAGTAATATTTGACGGAAGTAACAATACCTGGATGAAACAATATAATGTGTCAAAAGATGAAAAATAAAGCATGCGTCTCCGTCGCCTTCATTAAAATGCTGTTCGGAGCTACCCCCTAGCAAGCCCCCCCCCCCCCCCCACCCCGTTCCGACGCCTGTACATACAAAGTACAAGGCACGTGGTTGAACATTCATGGTTGTCCATCTATACAGGAATCACAGATTGTGTAATAAATATAATCTTTATAAAAAGAAACAAATGTTTATAATTATAATGCACTTTTGGACAAATGAATATTTTAATGCATAAAATCTTTTGTATCCTCATTATAACATACATAGATTTAATTTACAAGGTAAATCATGATGTCACAATCATTGGTTTTCGGGATCTTGACACATTGTCCATTTATGTACATTCAATTTTGGAAATCCTAGACAGCAAAATAAAATTCCCTGTAGTGGGAGGAGCTAACAGAAACTATAAATTAAGAATTGTGAATTTATATCTACAATAATCTATAGACTTATCCAGGATGTTCGGAGGAAGTACTGTCGTATTGGTGTGTGTGGCCCTGTTCTTGGTAGCCCCAAGTGAAGGTAGGTTAATTGAAATTAGGCTTTTTTTAGTTGTAAATGTCTTTAAAAGGTTGTACTGTCAATATGTTAGCTGGCATTAACCAACAGGAAATTGTCGGCAAGTTAAAATTAACGTTTAAAGAAAAGAATCCATTCAACATACTATACTGTAAGCGACAAGCAAAACAAGGGAAAATTGGCTAACCCTTAAGTATAACATCTTTTACTTCAAGATATATGTCAAGGTTATGAACACTTTCGTTTCCAGGTTACGCGATAAGATTTTTAAGAAAAGTAGAAACAAATGTTATGAATCAGCAACCTAAAGTCTTCGCTTAGTTTTTCCCACTTAAGACAAATTTTCAATAAGAAAAATGCAATTTTTCATACGAAAATGTCTGATGATAATCAAGTTATCATTTTAAAAATTACATATTTTTTTTTTATTCAATTAATCTTAATAAAAAGGATACTTTTTATTAATACAAAATAGATTAGCACGCAAGGAACAATGAAGAAAAATGAATGAAGTATTCAAAAATTTTCATATTAGTAAACATGCAATATATGTTATTTACTGCATGTTATGGTTTAATTTTTTTTTTTTTTTTTTTTTTTTTTTTGAGTCTTTTTTTTTTATTTTTTGAGTTTTTGTATTTTATTATACAGTGATATATTTTCGCTGCTTATTCAATTATTTAGTAAGCCAGGTATAGACAAATGCCATAAATCAACATCTAACTCTTCACTCAGTTTGTACCAATTTTAGACAAAGAGAGACGAAAGTAAGTCTTGCGATAAGTTATCATTTGAAATAATACTCAAAATATATTAGACACAAAATTTTATTCGATTTTACTTGAGTAAAGATAAGAAATAGATTTCGAATGAATGAACAGTGGAAAAGGAAATTATGAAGTTGTGAACAATTGTCTAATTTATTTTTTTGTTCAGTGCTAAAATTTAATGGCAAATAGCGCCTTTGCCGATGATTTTTTCTGCATTATTTCAGTAGGTTTGTCATGTGTTTATGTACTTAAACACCTCTCTTCATATAAATGGTTTGTGTCACTTTTTATTTTATATCTTTAAAACAAATGAATTTCAATGCTTACGCATGTTAAATCTTGAGGGTGATAAATGAGGTAAGAGCTTTCACTATTTGTAATTTCGCGACATTTGACACTTAATTGTTTCACAAAATTGGCTCTTTTATATACCTGATTATTACTTTTTCCATAAATATATTGTATCATAAGATTTTAAAGGGGGAAAGAAAAGTATCAGTGGATATGAAAAAAAGTTTTTACATTTCAATTCCCTTTTAGGATCTTATTCCAATAATGGATGTGCCTGTGCTCAATATTGGGATCCTGTGTGTGGTGTAGACGGACATACGTACTCCAATACTGGATGCCTGGCATGCGCGTATGTGAAAACACTTTATTAAAATATATTTTCCTTTTATTTACTGAAGATCAAATAAAAATTAATGTTATTATAGGAAAACGTAACTGGAACAATCTCCTTTCTATTTTAACAAAGCTGGGAGAAAAATGCATAAAACACGCAGTAAACAATCTTGTTTTTCCTCTTCACATGAAAGGGAAATATTTAACAATAATAATATATAGTTAAATTCTTCATTCTTACACGCTCAAAATATTTCTTACAGAAAAAAGAAAAAAAAAAGAAATGCATACATTTCAAAGCATTATCATATTTGAAAATGATTTTATACGAGATAATTTTCTTATATCAACAGTCGTATCCCCATGGCTTGTACAGGAGAATGCCCTTGCTTCGGACGCTACTGAACACAACACTTTCAACTTCTGTCAACCGTGACCTAAAAGTCTAGTGCATAGGACTCTTATGTCTGTAAAATGAATTTTCTTTCAATAATAAAAAGGTAAAATTCTAAATCAATTCATTACTTATTTTGTTTTACACTCTTTTTTCATTCCACTCACATATCAACCTAGCACCTTTGCAATGATTGGCAAATTAGCAGGGGCATTATTTTTCTATACGGAAAATGTTCAGCACAATTTAGAGCAAATAAATCAGGTTATTGAAGTGATTCGGATAAAAAAAATCCTCACAGATAATGGTTCTTGTTGTGAGAATTGAAAACAAACATCACCAAATTAACATGAATTCTTGGGTTGTTTCGCCTGTGAATCATTGGTTTCACCACAAAACAAGTACACACAGATTGTATTCTATTCTGTAGATAACATTAGCAGATTTGAAGTTAATAGATTTTCAAGTCTTGGTGTAAAAGCTCTGTCCTGTGTGCATACTAGTAAAAGAAGTGTTAGTTATCAAAATGTCACAGGTTTTCCTCAATTTTTCGCAGATCATTTTGAAATAAAAGACATGGGATCGGAAAAAATATATCTTTAAATAGTTCTCCAATGGAAACTTTACATTCTTTCAAATTTTTGTCTGAACTGTCGATTTTATACCAAAACTTGGAAGCTGAAGACTGTACAAACTTATATGACATATGTTTTATATCCCGATAATTATCCAAGGGACACCACAAGAACTCGTCGAGTCTGTGTCCCTTATAGAATAAAAAGATTAAGACCATTTTTTTATGCTGGACGATGCGTCTGTCAGTATCATATTGTTATTCTTTGTACTTTGGAAGGAATAGGAACCGAACGACAAGTATTCGTGGGTTGCAGAATGTCGACCAGCAGAAATACAGGTTTGGTTATTAAAATGAAATATTTGGATAAATAAGATGATAAAATGAGTTTCTCAAAATTCAATTAAATAGCACAACAAGTTGAGCTTTTTAAAAAAGCTTACCATCTTTAGCAACAACCATAAACAATAAACTAATCTACATCTTCCAAGTCGCATAATTCTTTTGAATTTCTTGATTTCGTATTTCTACATTAGATTTTACTGGTATTAGCTCTACCGCGGTTGTCGCTCGTTCATCTCCGTAAACTGACTGAGACCTTGGGCAAACCTCGGCTGATTCCGTTAAATGTTACCTTCTTCAAACAAATAAGGGGAAAAGAATACATGCAAATTGTAAAGCCAGCAAGCAATTAAAAATCAAATCGTATTTGCAACTTGATGAAAATAAAGAGACCTGTTTAGTTATTGCTTTTAAAAATATTTGTTATTTAGAATTAATTACTGCTGATTTTCTTGTTCGTTTTGTCATTTTTTAAAGATTGGAAATATTGAAAAATAGTTTAGTCGTACGAAAATTAGACCATCAGAAATTTATCTCCCTTGCCTTGAACAGCATTTCAACCAATGAAATAATTGAAAATTTTCTCATCATGTAATTTCTACCAATCACAGAAGAGAGGAAGTGCATAGTCCAAAGACTGTAAAAAACTTCAACTATATAATACCGTCTTCCAAGGAAGACGGTAATTAGGAACAGAGCAAATACGGGCCTCTAAAAATAAGAGGTGGGTTCAGGTGCAATGGAGGGGTGAACATAACCTGCCGACGAGTCACAATCCAGTGTGCTCCTTGTCATGTTCGGATACGAACGGAAAATATTTATCAAATATTCAATTTGTAAATAATGGCCTTACACTAGGTATGAAAAAAGTCAGTAAGCATTTGACTTTATGATAGATTGTATTTGCTTCCAAGGTCATTGTATCGGGCATAGAACTTAAAAAATGATGACTTTAAACGAGGTTTTTGATATTCTTTCTTCATGCAATTTGTTTGTAAATAAGTAACCCATTTCTTGATATATTTCTTTTGTAAAACATGATCTTCCGTATCAAATCAACAGCGAAATGTGAAGTCCTTATGCAGGTGATAAAGGTAAATGCTGCAAAAGTTGGAAAGCTGCCGATTGAAAACTTTTATCTTTTTTTCTAGCAAAATATCAAAATATAAAACTTGTATCAGACTTTTGCTTCATTTCAATACCAAAATAGATCTGCTAATAACGGAGCTATAAAACTCATAATAAAATATTTTATATAATGGAACCTTTTAGTTTTCAGTTTATCAATTAACTAATTGTCATATTTCTGATATTTAAAAAAAACTAATTTAAGACATTGCTTACACATCCTTTCTTTATGGTGCTTGCTGATTTCTAATGAACCTTATTTTCCTGGTTTGGTTAAGATAACATCAAAATCTCTTAGTTGTCTTAAAAAAGGAACAGAGCAATTCTATCTTTCTAAGAATTGTCAGTTTGTGACTCTGAATGACAATACTATGTTCTAACAGGAAATAAGAAGATATTACATGAAATCAGACACCTTTTTTGAAAGCCACTAGAAACTTTATTAAAGTTTTGTTAGATGTTCCCGTGAAATAAAATGTTGCGCAATGTTCAATTAGAGGGTCTTGTTCACCTTAATCATATGATTGTTACAACTTTAGAGTGCAAAGTCAAACAAGTATTTTATGGTAGATAAATTGCTTTTCATTTGCAAGTGTCAAAATGCATGATTTCCGTAATTTGCGGATTTCAATATGGCATTTTGCCAATGCATATACTCATGGATGAAATTAATTATCTTTTAAGGAAATTTTAAGGGATCAACTAAAATTTTTTTTTTTTCATTTCTGTATAGTTGACAGGCACCTAACTCATTTCAATGACAAAGTCCGTTATAATTTTTTAGATAAACTATGTTCATAATATCGAAATTACGTAAATACGAGAGAAGACTTTCCTCTTAACATAAGGAAACAGCAATTGTAAAGACTGTTTTTTTTTTTTTTTAGCTGAATACTGTTATCTATTAAGTAAACTTCTTGCAAAACTGTTCATCACATACTGTGCAATAGTTTTATAAAGGTAATCAAAAATTTCTATTTTCTTCCTTTCAAGACCAGAATGTTGCACTTTGAAGCATTGAATTTTAAAAATATCTCACTAGTATACAAAATAATTAAAGCAAAATCCATACTGGATATGTTACAGGACTGTCATCAGGTTTCAGATAACATTTTCAAATATACACTGTACTTTTAAATATATAGAGTTTTAGATATCTCTCTCTCTCTCTCTCTCTCTCTCTCTCTCTCTCTCTCTCTCTCTCTCTCTCTTTGTTTTTGAAGTAAAACCTTTTGTAGAGAATTTACAAATTATAGATTAAATAATTATGATTTAGTAGGTCTGGTTATGTGAAAAACTGGTACCTTTTTCTAGCCTTTTTTCTTTTTTCATACTTGAAAATGAATCATGAAAATAAAATTTTTGAGGGAAACATTGCAGTTTGTCAAAAGATGAAAAAAGAAACATGCTTGTTGGACGCTTTCATTAAAATGCTTGTCGGAGATAAAGCCACGTCGTGAGACATTAATGAGATTTCTATTTCATACATATTTGAGAATCACCGAGGATTTGGTAAATAATTGCTTTTTAAAAAACATTGTTAAAAAAACTATGATTTATTTTCGAAAAAAAATATTTAAATGCATTGAATCTTTTAAATCCCTATAATTACATACGTAGATTAAATTAACAAGGTGAATGGTGGTTTGTGAAACCTTGACAAGTTTTCCAAATAGGTACTTTATACTATTGGAAATCCGAGTCAGCAAAATAAAATTCCCTGTAGTGGGAGGGGCCAACAGCAACAATAAATTCAGAATATGACAAATTCTATCTAAAATTATCTTCAGGACGTATCCAGAATGTTTGGAGGAAGTACTGCCGTATTGGTGTTTGTGGTCCAATTCTTGGTAGCCCCAAGTGAAGGTAAGGTCAATTAAAACAGAGCTTTTTCCAGTTGCGAATGTCTTGAATGATTGTTTTATAAATATATTAACTGGCAACATCAAAAGGAAATTGTCGACAGGTTCAAACGTTTAAAGAATAAAATCTATCCAACATACTATTAGCACCAGGCAATTCAAAGAAAAATACATTAACCCGAAAGTGCAACTTCTTTTTATAACACATATCTATTTAATAACATGTCCTGTATGTTTCCAATTTTCGATAATATTTTTAAATTGTAAATGCTTCTATATTATGAAAAAATAGACCTGTTCGGATATAAAATTTGTGTTTAATACGAATACCGGTATTGAATATAGGAAAAATATTGATATCTGAAGAAAAATATGTTGATCCTTAACCCCCCCTCCCCTCAATGTTAAAAAACACTATATCCCTATCATTCTTTGCTTTTTCTCTCTTTTTCTCTCTCATCTTTGATGTTAAAGCAACTTGTAACAACATTTAGAATTTAAATGTTATATCTAGAGTTTATATGTTAATGTGTATGTCTCTATGTGGGTTTGATATCTGCATATGGTATTTAACGAGGCTGGGGTGTGGCAGCCATTTTCAGACTATTTTAATCTCCTTTAAAAGAAGAGCTCCATATAAAGATTTACAAAAATGATCAAATTTTAAAACTTAAATGTATGAGTTTTTTCTTTGCCAAATGATAGTTGACAGCTTAAGATACCGTATCTAAAAAAATAAGTTATATCTGGTGGTTAATTTATGGTTACTTTGTTGGCCCCCAGCCTCCTTAATAGCTACCTTAGTGAAGATATAAGCATGAATATACTTTTATACTATGTGATATACATGTAAGAGTTGAAATTTAAAAAAAGGTTCTTATAAGTGTGGATTATCACTGTTTCCATCTATTGATTGTATAATAAGATTTTAAGGGGAAAAGCAAAGTATTAGTTGATGTAAATAATTATTACATGTATACATTTCGATTCCCTTTTAGGATTTTATACCAACAATTGATGTGCCTGTATTCAAGTTTAAGATCCTGTGTGTGGCGTAGATGGTCAGACTTACTCAAATACTGCATGTCTGGGATGCGCGTATGTTAAAAGACTTTTTAAAAATATATTTCCATATTTATGGATGATCAAGATGATCAAATAAGCGATGTATTTAATTTATAGGAAAACCTCAACTTTAACAATTTCCTCTTCTATTAAAAGCTGGCATAACAAATATATAATAGAGGTGGTTAAGCAATCCGGTTTTCATCGTACATGAAAGGGAGATATTTAACTAAAATGATACTGGTACGAACAGGTAAAGTCGTGATTCTTACATGACAAATTAAAATCGTTTGAACAACACAAACTTTCAAAAAATACATACTTAGCATCATTATATTGAAAAACAATTTTATATTCGTTTTCTTTTATCAACAGTGGTGTTCCCATGGCTTGTAAGGGAGAATGCCCTTGCTACGGACGCTACTAAACATAACAGAAACAACACTTTAAAGTAATCTTACCCGTGACCTAAATATCTAGTGTAAACGTCTCTTATGTCTGTAAAAATTATTTCCTTGTTTAATAAATAAGTGGTATTCTCGATCTATTTATGACTTATTTTGTTTTTCCCTCTTCCTTTATTCGATTCACAAGTCAATATAGCACTTTTTCAAAGTTTGACCAATTAACAGGGGCATTATTTTTCTATAATGAAAATATTCACCTCATTTTAGAACATAAAAAAAAAATTATTGAAATGAGTTGGATAGAAAATTCCTCACAAATGGTGGTTCTTGAGGTTAGGATTTTTTAAAGATATGGATTCTGGAATGTTTCCCCTGTAAACACTGCATGATTCTTCAGTTATATAGTACTGGAGTCTTTTCACTCCAGGATATATACAAGTTTGGTTGAAGTTGGTCGAGTGGTTTAAGTCGAAAACTGAACTGTTTATAGAATGCACACCGCAGTCTGAGAGATGTTCAGACAAAAATTGATTTTTTTTTTATTTTTTGAAAAGTCATTTATTACAAACTGAAGAAACAGCAATGGAAACAACAGTTGCACCGACATTTCTAAATGGAAATAATTTCTATAAAACTGTCTTATTTTTTGAGATGACAGTGTCGAAAAATTAGAATTAATTAAAATTTATTAGAATGAAATTTTTTCCTGGTCTTCGATTCGGTTATAAATTCAGTGATGTGCACACTAGCTTGCTCTTAGTCAAAGCATTGTGTTTCTTGAATATTCATGCAAACAAACAGATTTCCGATAGCTATCACAGAAAAATATACTAGATGCTGTCATGAGAAGGTACATGTAATATCCGCACTAAGATGTTTGCCTCTAAATACACACTCTTTCATGCTGGGCTTTCCAATGAAAAAGTCAAAATAATTCCATGATTAATAATAAATAATCATACTAAAAACAATGATGATGGGGTTCATGTTTTCTAGGGGAAGGACGTCCAAAGTCATTTTTATTTGCTTCATTATACAGTCCTATTTATATAACTCTAAGTTCCAGGGAGGGGGTGGGTCCGATCTCCCTAGACACTCCCTGTCGCTAAAATTATAAATGATCTTGCGACTCCAAGGTAGTAGATTTTTTTCATTTGACCCTCCATATTTTAATTGTTATACCCACACGTTCTAAAGGATATTTTGTTGTTACTCATGTCCGTCCGTTCGTCTGTCCGTTCGTTTGTCCGTCTGTCACACTTTTCTTCCCTTGTGAAGAAACTCCTCCTACATCTTCTTTTAGGAGATGGATGGTGGTGTCATGTAGATGTGCAGTAAGGTTTTGGAATTTTTAATTTGCCCCGGGGTCAAATGGGGGTCAAAAAATGACGTTTTTATGCAAAAAATTGTGTGTACAATCGGAATGTTTTAACAAAATAATTTTGCAAATGATCAAAGACAAGGTGAGTAAATGTACGAGTTGCATTTTTCTTAAAAAAGCAGCTTTTAATGAAATCAAAAAGCCTGGACCTTTATTTATCTTTGAGAATGGTTGTGTATAAATCTGAAAAGTTATAAATTTACAAGGTGTTCATTTTAGTCAAATATACGAGCACATTCGTGAAATTGATTTGCAATCTTGATCATTAATCTAGATATTTACGAAACCTGCTGATGAATTATGCATTATTATTATAATTATTATTACGTCAACATCAATTTATGCATTATTTCAATTGGGATTGTTGATTTGTATTCTTCCTTTTTTCCAAAATTTTATTAAAAAAACATTATCGCAGAACACAACAAATTAAAAGTTTAAAGTTTACTTGTGGCAATTTTTTGGCCGCGGTGGAAATAAGTACATTAAATTATAATGAAACAACATACAACTGCAAGGGGATGCCAGTTAGCAAGAGCAAGCCCCAAGCACACAACATATTTACATTTTATGAGATATTAATGACAAGTTATATCAACATTCAACGTTAGATCAACATTTCAACATTATCAACAACTTCATTGTATTATCAACGTCAACATCAAATTGTCAATATTTCAATGACTTTCAGTTTGTCTTTCATCAACATCAAAATCAACAATTGTATTTACCAATGACAACATATTTACAATCAATTATGAAGGGATGCCAACTGCACCGGGTTGATTCGCATGTGTGTCAGCATCCCCCACAATATGGAATGGTACATTTCAGTAAGTTTTTATATCCGTCATTGAACTTGAGTGGTTCTTCCGCCACAAGATCGGAAGATCTCGCCAATAAGGGGGGTCCCTTATACGACCATCAGCACTTAGTACTTCATACTGTATAGTGAAACCCCCATGTTGGCAAGAACCACTCACAATGT